CGGCTTTGAGGCTGGGAAGGGGGTGCGCTCCGCTGGGCGGGGAGGTCTTGGGGGACCCCACAGGGAGCCTGAGGATGGGCCCCAGGGATGGGCCCTCGCCGTCCAGAGGGAACCCCAGGCTCTGCTGTTGTTTCAACACCAGGCAGCGGTTCTCTGGGGTTCCCCGACCTCCCGCGGCCCTACTAGGCGCGCCTGGCTCTGGGTGGGCCGGGGCCCACGTCGTGCTGGGGTGCCCGGCCTCCTCCTACGCACGTGACCCCGGTTCTGCGTGGGAACGTGGCTGCTGGGGAGCCTGTGGGTAGCAGCACCCCGATCCATGGGCGTCTTCCTCACAGCAAACAGTGGCGGCCGAAAAACACACCAAGTCCCAAAGGAACAGGCAGTGGGTTGAGCCAGGAAGCGAGCGGAGAGTATTGAAATGCCCCCCAGACTGGAAATTCCATTTAGGTTTCCATTAGTCATAACCACCCGGAGCGTGTCTCCCACCGTGGATTTGGGGCAATAGCGGCGCAGCTCAGGGTAAGTCCACCCGGGCGCTTGCTCTTAGGCCCCGGCCCGTGTGGCTCAGTGGCTTGAGCGTGAACCCAGGCACCAAGAGGGCACGGGTTTGATTTCCTGTCCGCGCACATACTCTGGCTGCGGGTTCAAGGGTTCATTGACCCATGTGTCTTTCTCTCTCTCCCTCTCCCTTCCTCTCTCTAAAGCCAATAACAACCTATTTTTAAAAAGCCCGGCTGGTGTGGCTCAGTGGTTGAAAGTCGACCTATGGCCTTAGCCGGTGTGGCTCAGTGGATAGAGCGGCGGCCTGCGGACTGAAGGGTCCCAGGTTCGATTTGGGCCAAGGGCATGTACCTTGGTTGCGGGCACATCCCCAGCAGGGGGCGTGCAGGAGGCAGCTCTCTCATGGATGTTTCTGACTCCATTCCTCTCCCTTCCTCTCTGTGAAAAAAATCAACAAAATATATTTTTAAAAAGAAAGAAAGAAAGTCGACCTATGAACCAGAAGGTCATGGTTTGATTTCCGATCAGGGCCCCTGCCCAGGTTGCGGGCTCGATCCCCAGGTGGGGGCGTGCAGGAGGCAGCCGATCCAGGATCCCCTCTCATCATTGATGTTTCTATCTCTCTCTCCCTCTCCTTTCCTCGGAAATCAATAAAAATGTATTTTTTAAAAAGATATCATATCGGATCTTTGGTTTTGAGCTCAGAAAAGTCGTAAACCTTCCTATTCGGGGAAAAACAACACCCTAAGCACTAAATATGTTTGAACCACACATTTCCACGGAGAACCCACCCGAGCTCATTTCAAAATCAGCTCCGAGAATCATCTGATTCGGGGGTTGAGACCGGCTATTAAAAGGACACACAGATCATCATGCCAATCGCGGAGGAGACGACCTCTTCGCGCCTTTGGAAAGCCCTACCTTCTGGGCGCAGGCCTAGGAGTAACCTCAATCACCGGCGTCATTCATATTCAAATGCGCACCCCGCGTGCTTGGGGCCCTGGCGCTCCCAGATGTGTTCCTAGAGACGTGGAGATTAATTTGTTAAAATACTTAAAATACTGTTTTCCTGGAGAGCGCGGCTCCCGCCCCCTGCTCGAGAAATCGTGCCTTCCCAGGGGAGGCTCATTCGACCACGGAGGCCAACGGTGACCGGAAGATTGGAGGGAAACTGGTGGGCCTGGAGCCTGGGGGTGGACTCTGCCCAGCACGTCTCCATCGTCATCCACAGCTGAGCCTGGAGGGAGCCCGCCAGCCAGACCCTGGTCTCTGGGCTTCTCTCTCCCTCCCCTCCCACCTCCCAGCATTCGC